ATTCACCCTGCTCACTCCTGTACTGTACCAGGCAACAAGACCTCTGAGATCCTCTTGTTCATTGGGGATACCACTGCCTGAGTACAGGACAAGGGAGTGGACACCTGCCTCATCAGTCTGGACCAAGAGAAGGCCTTTGACAGGCTACTGCACACCTACATGTGGGATGTGGTCTCCAAAATGGGGTTTGGGGAGGGAATCCAAAATTGGATCTAACTGCTGTACACCAATATCAGTAGTGTAGTATCAATTAATGGGCAAGAACAGAAAGCTTCCTGCTCAGATCTGGAGTCAGGCAAGGCTGCCCACTCTCTCCTGCCTCGTGTGTTATATAGAGCTGAATGCATCAGGAAGGATGAGAACCTGAGAGGGGTGACTATTCCAGGTAGAGGAGGCCTGGAGATCAAAAACTCCCTGTACATGGATGACATTGTCTATTCTGCTTGGATCTGCTGTTTGTGCACAGGCTCATGAGCATCTGTGATCAGTTTGAACTGGCCTCAGGAACCAAGGTAAATAAAGGCAAAAGTGAGGCAATGTTCTTTAAGAAATGGGCTCTTCATGCCCCAGAATATCAACATACCTCTCCCTGATCTTACAATCATACATGCCACTCTTTTTGGTGAATATCGATGTGAAGTACTCATTAAAGGATCTCACCCACTTTCTCTGGTTCCATGCATAAATTCCCTCTTTTGTCTTTGAGTGGACTTACTCTCTCCCTAGTTACCCTTTTGCTCCTAACAGACATATAAAATGACTTTGGGATTCTCCTTAATCCTACTTGCCAAGGGTATTTCATGGCCCCTTTTAGCCCTCCTAAATTTCCTGTTTTAAGTATTTTTTTAATGCTTCCTTTATACTTCTTCTCAGCCTTGTTTGATTTCAGTTTCCTGAACCTTACATGTGTTTTCTTTTTATTTTTGACTAAACTTTCAATGTCTCGTCATCCAAAGTTCCTGAATCTTGCTATCCTTATCTTTCATCTTCAGAGAAACATGCTGAACTCTGATCAACTGGTCTTTAAAAGACTCCCAAAAGTCAGATGTGGATTAACACTCAAAAAGCAGCGTCCAGTCTAATTTCTCCAGGTCCTGCCTAATACTGTTGGAATTAACCTTTCCCCAGTTTTTCAACCAAAGATCAGTTTTATCCTTATTCATGACTATCATGAACCTTATGAAATATGATCACTGTTCCCAAAATGCTCTCCGACTGAAACTATAGTCACTTTGCCAGGATCATTCCCTAATACAAGGTTTAGTATGGCCCCCTCCCTAGTTGGACTATCTCAACAAGACTGATCTTGTTGCAAGAACCCTCCTGAATGCACCCAACAAATTCTGCCCCATCTAAGATCCTTGCACTAAGAGAGTCCCATTTTTCAATGATCTGCTTAACCATATGTTCATCTGTCTCCTGCTAGCTATTAAAAGCCTATAGTATAACCCCATCATAGTGATTGCATCTTCCTTATTCCTTATTCTATCCACGTGACATCACTGGATGAAACCCCCAAAATGTCCTCTGTTAGTCCAGCTGTGACATTCTCCTTAATCAGTAATTATTCCTTTTAGATCCTTCTCTATCTCTCCTAATGTACCCAAACCCTGGAATGTTGAGCTGCTAGTCCTGCCCTTCTCTCAGCCAAATTTCTGCAATGGCTACCACAACATAGTCCCATATATTAATCCAGGGTCTAAACTCATCTGCCTTACCTATTATACTCCTTGCATTAAAGTAAACACAACTCCTGCCTGCCAGTCCTGCTGTGTTCATTAACTTAGCCCTGTCTCTTCTCTCATTAGACTTATTTCACTTAACATTGACCCGCTCCTCAATCTTTTCACATTCTAACCCACTGCTGTTTCCCCCACCAACATTATGATGCACATAAGACTGACAATTGAAGATAAGGTATTATGTAAAATCATGTTAAGTTTTTCTAAGTTTTGCTTAAAATTACTTACAGAATTCACAATTTTAAAAATCTGTTCAGACCAAAGCATACTTTATCCGCATATTATACTCTAATATAACTGTGTCAAATTAATTCAGGGTTAAACTACTGACATGGTTGAAAAATTGGTTGGGGATAATGGATGGGTACTCAAATTGGCAGCATGTGACCAACGGTGTCCCACAAGGATCTGTGTTCGGCATCAATTCTCCACATTATTTATTAACAACTTGGATAATGGCAAAGAAAGTCATATATGCAAGTGTGCTGACAACACAAAGTTAGGTGGGACTTTAGAAGGTGTAGATGATATTACAAAGGGATTTTGATAAACTAGGTGACTGGGAAAAACTGTGGCAGATGGTGTTCAAAGTATGCAAGTTTGAGGTTATCCATTTTGGACCAAAAAAGAATAGATCAGGGTACTTTGCGGATGATATGAAGTTAAATAGAGTGGAGGTCCAAACGGACTTAGGGTTTAGGTGCACAGCTCTTTAAAGTACCACAAAGAGCACAGAAAATAATCAAAAAATCTAATAGAATGCTGGCCTCCAAATTTAGAGGAGTGGAGTATAAGAATGCAGACATTACCCTGCAGTTGTACAAAACCCTGGTTAGACCTCTTTTGGAGCCCTGAGAGCAGACCCAGGATCTTCTACTTTAGGAAGAATATATTGCCCTTGGAAGGAGTACAATGTAGATTTAGGTTGCAGACTTGCTTGCTAAGCTGGTGGTTTAGCTTGCAAACGTTTCATCACCCTGCTAGGTAACATTTTCTGTACGCCTCTGGTGAAGCGTTAGTGTTCTGTCCCACTTGTTATATATGTGCCTCACTTTGCTGGGGTGGTTGGTATTACTTCCGGTTCTGTTTTTCTGTGGTTCGTATGTGTTTGTTGATGGAGTTCCGGTTGGAATGCCAGGCCTCCAGGAATTCCCTGGTATGTCTGTTTGGCTCGTGCTATTATGGACATGTTGTCCCAGTTGAATTTGTATCCTTCTTTGTCCATGTGTATTGAAGCCAGTGAGAATTGGTTGTGTCTCTTGGTGGCTAGTTGGTGTCCGTGTATCCTTATTGTCAGTTTTCTTTCAGTTTGGCCTGTGTACTGTTTTTCACGGTCCTTGCATGGTATTTTGTATATGATGTTAGTTTTATTGTTTGTGGGTATGGGATCCTTTACATTCATCAGTAGCTGTCGCAGGGTGGTTGTTGGTTTGTGAGCTATCCTGATATCTAGGGGTCTGAGTAGTCTCGTGGTTATCTCTGATATGTCTCTGATCTACAGTAGGATGATTAGTGTGCCTGGCCGTGTTGTGTCTTTTTGTTGTGGTCTGTCACGGAGGTAATGGTGGATTGTGCTTTTTGGGTATCCATTCCTTTTAAAAACTCCAGATAAGTACTCCTGTTCTGCTTTGCTCAATTCTGGATTGCTGCAGTGTATTGTGGTCTGTTTGGATAATGTCCTGATGCAGTTCTGTTTATGGCTGTTGGGGTGGTTGCTGGAGTAATTAAGTATCTGGTCCGTATGTGTGGTCTTTCTGTATATACTGTCTAGTCAGTTACTGTTCCCTCCTTGTTTTGTGAATTTTATTCTGGTGAGGACGTTGTTTATGTGTCAGTGGGTTTCTCCTAGTCTTGTGCATTTGATAATCATGAAAGATTGAAGATGTTAGGACTTTCTCCACACACAGACGAAGACGAAGAGGAGATTTTATAGAGGTTTTCAAGATCATGAGTGAGCTGGACAGAGTAGATAGGGAGAAACTGTTACTGTCATGAAAGGAACAAGAAGTAGAGAGCATAGATTTAATGTGATCTGCAAAGTAAGCAAAGATGAAAAGAGGAAAACCTTTTTTTTCACTCATTGAGTCAATGGTATGGAAAACCTGGAAGCGTCGTGGAGGCAGGTTCAATTGAAGTATTCAGGAAGGCATTGGATGATTATTTGGATAAAAATAATGTGCAATGGTGAGGGGAAAAAGCAGGAGATTGGAACTAGGTAACCATGTTCATTTAACAAGGTGCTGCAGGCACTCCCTCCTTCCACACCATAACACTTCTGTAATTCTGTTATAATGTTATTAGAAGTTTGTGAAAAAGAAACAAATAGGAGAGCCTTATTAAAATTAATTCTGCAAATTATTATTTTATTATTTAGTACCTATTACAACACAATTTCTTCAGCATCTTATATGGCAAACAAATTTATTTAAATATTCTTCTATTATTAGTGCAATCAGACATACAATCGCTTTCACATTTAACAGGAGGTTCATACAGAAATATTTTGATACCCCAGAACTGTGCTAGTCACTGGACTTGAAACGCTAACCTTGCTTTCTCTCCACAGATACTGCCAGATTTGCTGAGTTTCTCCAGCAAATTCTGTTTTTATTTTCGATTCCCAGCATCCACAGTTTTCTGTAACTTATTAATTGCCCATTCTACAATAAATTACTAATAGAAGATTGTCAGATTGCTTTGAATGCTGGGATAGTGCAACGTCCATTGTTTATTTTGCCTGGAAAGCAAACTACAACTTTCAGGCAAGGTCAACCAATAAAGTTTATATTTCAAGAAGGATAGCACAATCCATACTTGGTACTTAAACACATATCGCTAAATTGCTAAACTGTTCCTGCCATATAAGCAGACAACTCTAATCAGAAACATAGGCGGGTCTGATGAATCGAGGTGCAACGAAATAATTCTCTGACCTGCAATCCTAAAAATGACGTGTATGCATTAAACTAAATCACAAGGAGAAATATTTGTCGTAACATTCCAACGTATCAGCTGAAGGCTACATATTTACATAAGGCAGGAACGTACCTCATCCATTAATTGATTTTATAAAACCCTGAAGGGGCTGTCAAGAAAGGATGACTCAGAACGTATAAGCGTTTCTGGGCCCAGAGGAGAGATACACAAGGTGCCAGACATAATTTTAGCAGAATCGAAACCACACATTGCGAACTTCGTGATCATAACACATTGATAACTGATAATCAGTGACAGTTAACAATATAACAATGTACTTACTCTTACCTTGGATATTACGAGCACTTCGTTTATCAACTTAAGCATAAGTCGCGTTGATCATTCCTCAGCGCTGCAGTCCCTCCAACAACAATCAAGCCTATTGGTGCAGAGCGCTTTACAAACTACTAGATTCTCCACCCTCCTCCAACAATGATTGGTTAGTCTTTACAGAATCTGTTTATCTACGTACGGCGATCAGACTAACGTCAATACTTGAAATGCACATCTTGAAAAGGGGGCGGAAGGGAATTCAACATCCCGCCTTATATGAGATGTAATTGGCTGAGGTGGGACAAAGCACGCCGGCCTACCTCTGATTGCTTTCCTTGCACGTTAGTCATTACCAACTGTCCTCAGCCTGATGACGATTGGCTATTCACGCTGCCAATTATACGGGCTTTTAATCTATTGGGTATCATCTCTGTCAGTCATTGCCATCGCGTTCGTGATTGCTGGAATGCCGCGGTAAGGGGGCGTTTCTGGGGGCGGTGGTGTTGTGCTATTCGATGTGAGGGAGAGTGTGCGGGTTCGTCGACTGTTCACCACAGGAGGAGGAGAAGGAGAAGGAGAAGAAGGTGCGGGTGAAGAAACGGTCTTGTTAGCCGTGATTTGAAGCTTTCTGTTTTGTAAAACCACTATTTAAATTCTAAGTGATTCCCCGACTTCCTTCCGCCTTTCATTGAATATACTTCAGGTCGCGATCTTCCCTCCCCTCCCCCCACCCCTTCCTCTAGGTACATTAATCCGGGGAGAAGTGAGTGGCTTGAGGGCAAACTCTGCAGCAGGTCTGTTTTTCCTCAGGAAAGGAGGTGCAATAACCCCTTTCAGATAAATCCTTTCCAGAAGAGGGTCGGGGAATAAAATAGGTTCTCGGTTTCTGCAAGTTTTTTTTAGCGTTTTTGCCTCTCTTGTTCCTCTCCATTACACGGGGGGGGGGGGGGGGAAACGAAGTGGAAGATTTTTTTCCCCCATACTATTTCAAAAACGCCGTTAAGTCAGGCCGAAAGGAGCAGCACCACCAATAACAAAAAGGCAGAGGCGGGCAACGCTCTCTGCTGTTTGTTCTGGTGGAAGAAGCGTTTTTTTGGGATGAGTGGTCCGGTAGAACTTAAACAAAAGGTGTTGTAATTAATCTGTCTGGGACGCCCTCCCCGGTTCGAGAAGGAAACCTCTCTTCTAAGCTGGGAGAGCAGAACTAAGGTATGCCATGAACAATATCATCAAGCCCATTTCTTCTAATTTCATGTGATGATTTTTCTAGAATGGCCGAATTATGTCTTGAACATTTATTTTGTTTTTATTTTCATTTTGAGATGAAAGCATCTGGCTGTTTATATTAGTGGATTGCATTAATTTCCAGCTACCTGTTAACGGATCCCTATTTTTGGCAATGATTTTCAAGAACGGAAACGAGGATGAAAAGAGAAGAGCTCCTGTTGTGGAGCACAACTAGGTTGAGTCCGAATCATGTGAAACTTGATAATTCACAATTATATATCTTTGTGACGATCTTTGCTTTTCTCTATTTTGCACTTTGGAAAGCTGTTTCAAATGTATTTGGCTTGAGGACGTTGTCGAAATCTGTAAGGCGAAATAATGCAGTGATATGTTGAGTTTGAATTATTTGAAGTGCAGCCAAACCAGTTATTGGGAGTCATTTTAATCTTGCCAAAAAGTGCTTGCTTATTCTGTGGTAGGAAGGTGTGATTTCTAATTCGATACTACGACATTGGAGGAAATTCGTTAGTGTTAAAGATACAGCAAATGGTTCGCTAGCGACCCGTGCATTTTCTAGCCGTCTGGTGTCCTGTCATGGCTTGTTTTTCTCTATGAAGTTATGAACGGAGTTTATAGATTGTTGTAAGGAGTTTGTGGTCTAAATTTTCGTGTATTGTCTTTAAATGTCAGTGGTAATTATTTTGGCAAAGAAGTAACATTGAAATTAACACGATTGTAATGTATCTAATTTTGTGATATTAGAGATCTGAAGACCGTTTTGCGACAACTCGTGGGATTGATTTAAGGTTTAATCTTTTTTGGGAATACTGTCTGCAGTTCTTTTGTGTCGTGTTTAATTCTAGAAATGTGGTTATGGAAGAACGTGGACTGTCATGTTTTACGTTGTTTACAACTTTCAATGAAAACGGACTCCGCCTCTGTTATTTACATCATGCAATTTGGTGGACTGAGAACATGTTTTGTTGATCGTGGCAGGTGGACACGTTGCAGACGTGAAGAGGTAGAATGTCATTCTGTTGTAGAACGGATATGTATAGGGTATTATGGAATGCAGTACAGAGCATGTCTGGTTTCCGCGGTTTTGCATGGGGAAAGTGAATTGAATTATCTATTTCTGGGCTGTAAACCTTGTTCAAATGTCTGGTTCAGCGTCAGAAGTTTATTTGATATTCTTGTGAAGCACCGAGACTGCTTTTTGCTAAGTCCAAGGTGTTATACTAATGCAATTATTGTCGAATTCGTTGAAATCCTAGGCTTTCCTAATAGTCGCGTCCTTCACGATTTTAGGATGTCCTATATTATTGTGATGCCAACAAGGTATTTTTGAAATGTAGTCACCATTATATAAGTGAATGCGTCAACAAGTTTAGTGCACACTACGGTACGACCGGCAGCAATGCAATGGGCAATTTAAATCGGTTTGTTGTTTGAGTAACAAATGTCATGCAGCATACTAAGGAAACTCCGCACTCTGGTCCCACCGGATTTTGTTTCAGACATTTTCCTAAAAAAGCAGACAGGTCCTCAGGCAGAAAAAAAGCCATTATCCTATCTCTACTTTTCCAGCATTGCATTGACGTGTTGGCCAGGATTCTGTACTTAAAAAATTAATTGGCAGTTGAACATACAACCGTCTGACTTTGACGTGAGTGCAACCAGGAGTTTACAAATTTGGAGAGGCACAAAGTTGGCATTCTTGAGGCCTGAGATCAGATTAGATCATGCTCCTTGCTTTTCAGACCAAAGGTATAGGAGGAAGAACTCTCCTTTTGAAATATTTAGATATGCACTTGTGATACCAAGGCATAGGAGGTTATGAGCCATGTGCTGGAATATGGGATTAGAATAGTTATGTGGTTATTTTTGACTGCTGTGGATGAGATGGGCCAAAGGGCCTCTTTCCACACTGCAGCTCTCTGACCCAATGAGCTGGATGGGAGCACTTCAATCTTTCAAAACTTACGGTTTCCGTCATTCTCAAAAAGAATATTTGTGAAATACTGCAAGTTGTCTTGTTTATCCACACTAGAGTAAATGGCTGTTAGAACAGCCTTATTGATGAAAAGCAGGATGCAAGAACAATCCTAGTTTGTCATGACAAACTGCTTAATTATTGCTTTTTAATCTCTAGACTCAACTGAACTGTCTCAATTTTACCCACTGTTCTAGGAAAATGTTGCTGTTTCTTTCAACTGAGTTTAGCAACATGTAAATGATTTCTACCTGAAGTTTTCAGACTTGTTCAAGACAAATGTGTTTAGATGATTTGATATTTCTGTACCTTGGGGCAAATATATCATCCATTCGTAGTGATAGAATTTTGTCTGAGCCTTAATTTAAAGTATATATGGCAGCAGTTGCATAGAAAAGCAAATTCTCTTGTCCAGTTGGCTTCTTTAGATGAGGTGTGTACAGCATTGTTGAAAGTACACCTGTTATTTGTTGATTGAGTTGTATGAGGAGCTCAAGTTGGTTAGAACTTTCTCCCTTTTATTTGGAAAGTTTGTCTCTTTCTTTGTGCTATTGTCGCTGCATAATAACACTGGCTGGTATTGGGAATCAATATGGGGGCAGTTCTGTATGATCCTGTACTGTTAGACCCAAGCATGCTTTCAGGACAAATGAATTTCTCATTTGGGACTGAAGGATTTAAGTTAGAATTAGAATAGGTTGAATGTCACTTACTCAAGTACGGGATTATGGTGAAAATTCACCAATGTCGCCCCACATGGCACCATCTTGGGTACGAAGTACCTAGGTACAAATCCTCTATACAAAATAGAGAGATAAGAAAAGTTAACTTAGAGGTATAAATGTAGAATCAGTCTTGGGTAACTCTATGTCTCACCACTCATTTCTTCTGGTTGGATTTTCAACGTTGTCTTTTGTCAACCTGGGATTCAACCCTGGATGGTTCATGGGGGCATGTGGAACTGGGGAAACTGTCCAGTATGTTTTATGCACCTCTGCTCTCACCCCTTGATCTCCCTCAAAACCATGACGGGGTTCTCCTTATCTTCACTTTCCATTCCACTAGCCTCTTTATACAATGAATCATGCTCTTGCCCTCCCAATACAGCATTCTGAAGGGGCTGTTCTCTGGGAATTTCCTCTGTTGCTCCTCACACCCTTTACTTCCCTGAAGCACAGTTCCAGGCCAGTTAGGGAGGTGGAACCCTGCCCATTTACTACCACCACCACCACCACCTTTCCCACTGTTCACGATTCCAAATGCTCTTTCCCAGTGAAACCCATTTTAATTGTACTTCTTTCAATCTACTCTACTGTCACAGTGGCACAGTGGTTAGCATTGTTGCCTCACGGTGCCAGGGACCTGGGTTCGATTCCACCCTCGGGCGACTGTCTGTGTGGAGTTATCAGGGCGGTAGTGAGAGATGATATAGGTTCTACTGAAGAAAACATTGAATCCATTTGGGTGGAAATTAGGAATAGCAGGGAGAAGAAGTCACTGATAGGTGTGGCCTATAGGCCACCAAATAATGACATCGTGGTGGGGTGGGCAATAAACATAGAAATAGCTAATGCATGTAAAAATGGTACAGCAATTATCATGGGGGATTTTAATCGACATATCGATTGGTCAAACCAGGTCGGTCATGGCAGCCTTGAGGAGGGGTTCATAGAATGCATCCGCGATAATTTCCTTGAACAATATGTAATGGAACCTACGAGGGAGCAAGCTATCCTAGATCTAGTCCTGTGTAATGAGACAGGAATAATTAATGATCTCACAGTTAGGGATCCTTTCGGAAGGAGCGATCACAGTATGGTCGAATTTAAAGTACAGATGGAGCATGAGAAGGTTAAATCTAGTACCTAAACAAAGGAGACTATGAAGGAATGAGGGAGGAGTTAGCTAAGGTAGAATGGGAGCAAAAACTTTATGGTGGGTCAATTGAGGAACAGTGGAGGACTTTCAAAACGATTTTTCACAGTGCTCAGCAGAAGTATATTCCAGTGATAAGGAAGAACTGTAGGAAAAGAGAGCCAGCCATGGATGTCTAAGGAAATAAAGGCAAGTATCAGATTGGAAAAAAAACACATACAAAAAAGCAAAGAGTAGTGGGAAACTAGTCGACTGGGAAATCTTTAAAGGCCAACAGAAAGCCACAAAGAAAAGTAAAAAAGATTGAGCGTAAACTAGCTCAGAATATAAAAACACGAGCAAAAGTTTCTATAAATATGTAAATCGTAAAAGAGTGGCGAAGGTAAACATTGGTCCTTCAGAGGATGAGAAGGCCAATTTAATAACTGGGAATGAGGAAATAGCCGAGACATTAAACGGTTATTTCGTGTCGGTCTTCACAGTGGAAGACACAAATAACATGCCGAAAACTAATGACAATAGCAGGTAAGGACCTAGAAACTGTCATTATCACTAAGGAGGCAGTGCTGGGCAAGCTAATGGGGCTAAAGGTAGACAAGTCTCCTGGCCCTGATGAAATGCATCCCAGGGTACTAAAAGAGGTGATGGGGGAAATAGCAAATGCAATAGTAATTATTTACCAAAATTCACTGGACTCTGGCTGTTTTCCAATCTGCGGGAACCACCCATGTGATGCCACTGTTTAAAAAAGGAAGTAGACAAAAAACAGGAAACTATAGGCCAGTTAGCTTAACTTCGGTAGTGGGGAAAATGCTTGAATCTATCATTTAAGGAAGAAATAGCAAGACATCTGGATATAAATTGTCCCATTGGGAACACCCAGCATGGGTTCATGAAGGGTAGGTCATGTTTAACTAATTTGGTGGAATTCTTTGAGGACATTACTGCATGGTGGACAGTGGGGAACCTGTGGATGTGGTGTATCTGGATTTCCAGAAGGCATCTGACAAGGTGCCACACCAAAGGCTGCTACATAAGATAAAGTTGCACGGTATTACAGGTAATGTATTGGCATGGATAGAGGATTGGTTGACCAGTAGAAAGCAAAGAGTAG